CACCATCCTTGATTGTCGGCCATTTATTGTGTCAGTCAGAGACGTTATTTTGGGCCAAAGGCGGACCAGTGTCTGGCCACGGTTCAGTGGCCATTCAATATCTTTTCTTCTGCTCGATTGCTTATCCTTTCATGGGCCAGGACCTGGTGCTCTGACCTCTGGCCTCTTTGTTTCTGAGCTCCTTAAGCTTCCAGCGTGTGTGTGTACAGGTGGGCGTGTGTATATACTGATGATGTGTGTGTTCATTGTTTCAGTTTTATCTCTTAATTACATCTTCATCTGTCCATTGAAAGCCTTCAGCTCGGAAACTTTAATTAACTTGCCCCATCACTTCTGGCCAATCTGAAGTATCAATGAGCTGCCGATGTAGTCCTGGCCAGACCAGGACCCAACTTTCTGTAGCCAACATAATTAAATTACCACTAAAACCTTCTAAATATGACAGAAACAAGTGGAGTTGCCCATGGCTTTGGACACAAAATTCATTAATTTCCAGAACGGATTAGATGGAAAAAACAATTTGTTATGACAGCATACAGGAAAAATAATAGTTTCATACTCTTTGTGCTTTTTCTTTTCTTTTAATTGAGTTTGGTTATTAAATGATGGAATTTTATTTGTTATTTTATTCGTTTTCTAGGATTATCTTGCGTAAATTTTTCATTTGAATTCGTTACAAATTTCTGAGAAGTCCTTAAGATGCTGAATAAATTCCGAGTATTTCTGTTCATTTGTAAAAGCTTATGTTATTTGATGAGCTCTGATTAAATAAACGTATGTACATATGTTACTGAAATAACATCCATTATTTGCCTTAAAGCTGAACTAAATTCGGCAACCAATTTGTAGAACACTATCTCTAATCTCCTTTTGGCCCAATGCAGTTAACTGTTTTCCACTTAGCACGACTTAATCCCCTAAACGAAAACTCAAACTGAAAACTGGGATAAATCTTTCTCTCTATTTTGTGGGCAAAATGGCGGGACACAATGGCTACCCCCAAATGAGGGGGTATGTATGTAGCATGCAACATGCAACAGTAACTGCCACACTTGCACATACTGCACATAGAGAATGTGAAAAGTGCGTTGGGAGTGCGCCTGTTGGCAGTAATTGCGGCGCTTAAAACGTTTTCACAATGCCACACAACTTTAGGGCTTAAGCTTTAGCTTTTCTTCTCTCTCTCTATGGTGTTTTTCCCGACCATTTTCCCTTAAATGGAGCTTGCTTTTGGGTTGACAAGCCAAAAAGTACGAAAAATTCTAGTAAAAAGTTTGGATGCACTGGAGCGAAAGGATATCGAGACTCGGCTCTTTCTTTGCCAGAAGAAAGGAATTTCCTTTCTGCTTTCGATTATGTCGGCAATATGTTTACGTTAACAACAAGACATCACCACCCGACTCCCGACATTCCGCATACGCCCCGTTTGCCGGCAAGGATGTACACGAAGCTGGCAAACAGACTGCAATTTGTTCCAAATGACTTGAGCGTGGCGCAAATTAAGTGCATTTTCATTAGTAGCAAGTTGTTTGCTATTACTTGGTGCCAGGACCATTTGAGAAATTAAATTGCAGTCAGAGCCAGAGTTGAGGATGGGGTCAGTGATATCCAAAGGGGTGGCGCAAAAGTTGGAGAACGCTTCAGCCAGGCAGCAATTATTTTTCTGGCCCGCACTCACAACTCTGCTCCTGACATCCAAAGGGAAGGGCTGCAGCTGGATAGAGGATATATTCCACTATCCACTGGACAGCTCGACAGCCATCATCGACACTACTCAACGCATTCATCCGTCCAGTATGAACTTCAGTCATGCAAAAAGTTATTTCCAGGGAAAGCTGCAAAAAATATACGAAAGTGTTGCAGCTGCCAGGAGAAATCCTGGCATGATATTGAGTTTTCAACAGGTTACTATGAACTGCCACAGGTATGACGGGAATTTTTCGGCTCAAGTCCGGGCAAAGAAAAAAAATGCATTAGAACTAGCAACGTGTCCAAAAATACATGAAAAAAGGTTTCGGGCAGGCATGTTTCATAGTTTAACTCTTGAAAAATTTCCAGCAGCTACTTTGTTTCATATTTTGCATTTAAAATACCTCTTTTTTCTTCATCTTTGGTAAACAATAGACTTTTCATGACCCAATAATATGTTTTTCCTTCAAACTTTTCAGCAAAAGTTGCTGCTGGCAAAGTTTTTCAAAAACATAAAGGTGACGAAACAACAAGCACTTTTGGACAACCAAACCAAACATTAAAGTTGAATATTTTAAAATTTAAATGCAAACTACAATTGCCAATTTGGTAACCAATAATTTCTCTTGCATAGAAAATGAAAGGCAATTTGTGGAGCTTTTGCAAATTCCACTGCTAATGCAATTACCTATAGATTTTATAGGAAAAATCGAACCTTTTTGTCAGGATTAGGAGGCGACCATGGCACCCCACCGATGTGGAATATATACATTTTCCTATATATACATAAAAGCTGAACAATTGTGGTTTGTGCAGCAACTCAACCACAGAGAATGATGTAAAGCGGCAGAGGTCAGAGGTTGGCCGAAAAATAAAAAGAGTACGGTGGCGTATACGCAATATTTAACAAGTTTTTCAGGCTACTACATGGAAATAGCATTAGCTCTGGCATCGTGGCTGCACCACATCCATTTTAACAGTTTTGATAGCAACGGACAGCCGCCTAATTAATAATGCATTCGCATCTGATTTGAAAATGTGCAAAATGCGCGCAAAAATGTAAAATCCGATTCGATTTCGATGCAAAAATCCAAGGGAATGCCGGGGCCCACGCAGTGAAATTTGCATTTGGATTTGGCTTTTGGAAAGATTGAACTGAATTTCATTAAATGCGGCAGGCGGCAGTCAGAGAGTACTGCGCAAAATATGAAAACTATCTGACACTGCAGCTGAAAAGCCTTTTAAAATGAGTGCAAATATTTGTTTTTCAAATGAAATGAATGAATAAATGCACTGCCGACTGGCAAAGTTTTGCTGCCAGCATGGGTGTGGCCCTTGGATGTGGTCCCTTTCGTTCGCAGTGCCCTTCCATATTTTAATGAAGTTGTTTTTGCCACTTTACCACGCTTCGGTGGCTGACAAAGGTCAATGCGATAGACTCTGTTGCATGCAACAGGGAGTTCTCGAGAGGCGGCTGCCATGTGCGAATCCCAGAGCAGAGCAGTAGCTCGGTTTTCCAGTCACCAGTCTTACAGGCTCCAGGCTCCAGGCTCCAGGCGGCTGTTAATTAAATTTTATTGTTCAGCCATCAAAAGTTGCGACGCCACAGCCACAGCCAGGAACATGGAGTGACACTGCCCCCCATGAAATATGTGCGGCAACTAGGAGGAGCAACTGGAGCATCAGATGCTGCTAATGATGATGTTGCTTGTTGCCAGTCCGGGCTGCTAATTTATACAAGCAGACACATGACACGGCCGAGAACAATGCGCACCCGTTTGCGAGGAGCAGTCAACGGCCAAAGCCAGGACATTTATCTGTTTATGTATCTCTGTTTCTGGGCGAGGGCATGTGCACCTGCAGCAGGACATGTGGACGTGTACGTGGCTTGCTGTGTGGAGGTTGGGCCGGCAGTTGAGAGTGTGGCATCACCAATCAATAAATCCCAGGACCCAGCTCCTGTTGATTCTTGCGCAAGCCTGTGCATAAATGTATGTGCCGAGCTCCGGTTGTTAACTTTGCATGTGGGCTGATTGCTGACGTGGATGCAGCAGCAGCAGGAGGAGCAGCAGAAACAGCAACGAAAGCTGCAAATTTGCATGCCCCACACAGTGGCACAGTGGCAACAAAAGCAACTAGTTGTTGTCATGACAGCAGCAGCCGCTGCAGCACCAGCAGCAGCAGGGAAGCTCCCCTGGCCAGGGCATAAGCCGTGAATCCTTTTTCATCCCAGCTACTCCGCCCACTCAGCCTCGTTGCCACGGCTGTTGGCTGTTGGATGTTGGTATGGCCATGAATACGTAAGGAACTTACAGAGATAAATAGGATAAGCTGGAAAATGGTTACCCGAAGCACGACTTCAATAGAACCAAAGGAGCAGGCAGCTTGCGGTACGAAATTCATTCTCTAATAAAATAATTATGGAAATTATATCCACTTGAGTGTATCCCAAATTAGCAAAATTTCAAACTCTGGCAATCCAATTAGGTTTTGGAAATTTGAGAAAAAACATTCTAAAATATGATTTATTCTTTGGGTTTTCAGAAATTCATTTTATTTAACAATTTTAAATATTTATAGACGGAAAAAGGTCTAAACGAGTTGTTTTATTGAATGTGCGAATATTTAATGAATATTTGAATAGTTTAAATATTGTAAACTAGAAAAGGCATTAAAGTGTGAAGCAAATAGTTGCTCTAGTTTGGAATTTAAATATTTATTTCATTTGAATTCAAATATTTATATCTTTTTTTACAGTTTAGAGCTGCCGCCCAGACTTCATCAAACTGAAATCCCTCCCAAAAACATATTCGAACTAAAAATAGATGTTTTTCACGTATTGGGGCCTGTTGCACATGTTAATTTCGTTTGGCTTCTGCACCTGGCCAAGTTCCGCCCGTAGAGGCCATTTCCTGGCCACCGCAACAAAGCACTCTGCTGTATCACGTACCACCCCGGCCAATTGGATTATGCAAGGTCCGGGCTAAACAAGTTAAAAACATATTTAGACAGCCGCCAGGACCGGACCAGACCAGACCGGACCGGACACGGACCGGCAATCCTGTCGTCCAGGGAGTAGAATTAAAATCCATGTTGCGACTGCGTATGTTGTTTGCTGCGTCAAAGTTTTAATTAAACTTGTAAATGTTTTCGCCACAAAACACACAAAAAGTTAACACACACACAGAGTGTGGCAAGCGGCGAGTGGCAAGTGGCAAGTGCCACAGGGATTTCATGCCAATTTTTATAGAAAAATAAAGTAAAAATAAAATAAAAATTAATAATTGGATCAACTTTAATTGGTAACTCACCAACATTGCCCTCCGCTTGCACAAGATCTCCATGCGTGGCTAGGAGTAGGATCGCCAGAAGGAACCCTACTTGCAGCAGCTTGGCCGGACGATTCACCAGGTCCAGCGTGCAGCATAACAGTCCGCCACCTCCCGCTCCGCAGCCACGCACCTCACGCCGCCGGGCACCCTCGCTGATCAGAAGGCGACCCCGGGCCGGCAGCGAAGGCGGCAACCTGCGCTGGTGGTGCAGTAGCTCGTGCTGCCTCGGTTTTCGCTGGTGCAGCACCTGCTCCGCTGGTAATGGGTGCGGGTGGGGCAACTGCTCCTCTTGATTGTTCGTAGACTGCTGCTCAGGCCAGGCCGGGTGGCATGCTCCCACAGCTTCCTCGCCCTTGACTGCTGCTCGTGCTCTCTGATGCTTCGTCTCTTCACTTGTGGTGCATGGATGTTGCTGTTGCTGTTGTACATTGCTTGCCATGATAATCGGCACACCTGTAAGGTACATACATGAGTAACAATATGCTAATTTTAAAAGCCAAAGTTTAACTATTTTTAGACTAAAAACAATAAATTTCCATTTTCAATTAGCTTCTTGGTGGAAGCAAGCTCAAAACCCGCATTTCCCTGAGCCATATCTATACGAAAATCTTTATACAAATTTATGCAAGCTTTTGCACTAATAACCCGGCTCTTCCACCCACTCAAAATTCTTGGATGGAAGTACCTCCTCCGCAAGAAATATTTCGGTGGCTCCTTATTGTTGTTACCGGAAATTAGCAATGTATATTCGGGATCTCCCCGCCCTGTTGCCGGTTGGCTCTTGAGGGAAATTGCATTTTATTGTGCCAGGGACAACTTTTCGCTTTCCGGCATTTCCATATTTCATATTTTCACACAATGCGCACAATGCCATGGAGCACCTCAAAATGGATGCCGGATGATGTAGCCAGTTTGGGGGCACAGAGCACGGCGGACGTGAGGCAGCGGGGCACGGACCAAGTTTTTTCTCTCGGTGCACATTTGTCGCGCTGCAGTTTCCTGTTTTTTAGTTGTTCGCCTTTTGTGCCAAGAGTTCGCTTAGCCTCCGGTGACTCCGCCTGCTCCGACTGGTTGCCGAGCATTTCTTGCTCTTTATATGGTAATAAATGTCAGTCTTCGGTTAGCCCAGAGCTCTTCACTCGACAGGGGAAATTGATTTTCTTTGACGCTCCAATGGTTCGGGGGTTCAGTGGTTCTGGGGCTTCCATGCCGGCCAGGTGGTTGGGGCCTCCTGGCTCCCGTCTGGGTCATTTGGCGATAAGCGCGTCAGCCTCGCTCAAGGTTGACATATTTCGGATGGCGGCAGCGATGGTTGTGGCGAGGTCTGTGGGTGGGAGCCAAAGGCCCTTTGTATCCCGCCGCCCACAAAATGGGATTCCAGCTCATCAACAGCACCGCAAAGATGTGGCACTTTAAGCTCCAAAAGAGAAAACGTCAAATTATCGAGCAGGGCGGGCAAAGAATAAACAAGACACCAAATGAAATAACCTGTCAGCTGAATAAAAATAGGAACAGCAAACATATGTTTCAATCCTCTGAGGTCTTGTCAGTGGAACTTAATTTGTTCAACTTAAGTTCCTGGGAGAATAAATCAATAAAGTTACTAAACAAGCTTAGCAGGAATTAAACTTAATTTGTATATCAAATGTCAAATGGCTTTCTTGTTTGCTGACTTGCAAGTAATTCACAAGGACCCCAAGTAATAAAAGCTTAAGCCTGACCATATCTCCTAGAAATCCTTTATTTGAACTACATAGTTGACAAACAAGGTTAGCTGACTCATTTGCAAAACATCAATAAATAAATTTATGAAAGGACCCAGTCTGGGCCAACATCTCAATTACAGAAACATCTTTAGTTATAACATGGCTGAGACATGGTAATATGATTTCAATCATTTCTCGAAACTTGCATGATTAATGCGTTCCAGATTCTGTCCTCCCATTCCCAAGCCCATCCAACAGCTTTTAATGGACCTTATTGCCTTGAAGAGTCCCAGGACTTAGACTTGTCTCCTTGGACGTCTCAGTCCTGTGTTCATTTTTCATGCACAGACCGTAGCAAAAACTAAACTACAAGGCTGAAACTAAGCCCCAATAAGTTGAACCGGCCTGAACCAGATGACACCACAGCATATGGGGCGGGATAATTAATCATGGGACGAACGTGCCGGGCCAGCCAAAAAGTTTCTACCCTAAGCTCCAGCTCCGGCTCAGGGAAAACTCAACTCAAGCGTAACACATTGGATCGAATCGACCGAAAAGTCAAAAGCCAAGTCCTTTACCAAACCGATGCGAATTCGTGGCTGGATGCAAAAGGGAATATCTGATTAGTCGGCCACTCGAATTCAATTAAGGTGACCCAGGGCAGGAGCACTCCTGACGGTGGCCATGGCCCTGCCGTCCCTGATGCAACATCCTTGGCCTCCTGCCCGCCTTCGTGGCCATTGCATAATTCATGCAACTCAATTAGGCGATGACCTGGCCCATAAAGTTTAATAATTGCAGACAGGGAGTGGTGCTTCTTTTTTTTTCTCGCACATTAATTAAAAGAACCGAGCAATTAAAAACGCATCAACAGGCGGCGAAAATGAAATGTGAAAAATAAAATATGAGGGATTTAATCGACTGGATCGAATTTATGGTGTATTCTTCTTTTTTTTGAGGAACTGATAACCAGAATGAAATTATAGCCTGGCATTTGGTGGGATTGCTTTTACCAAAAAGTAGCTTTTAGTTCCTTAATTACAAATGGGTCAGAATCGAAAAGCAATTAAGTGCACCCTTTCCATTTTGGACACTAGTATTTAAAAGTCATCGTTTTCCTCCGCGAATATCTGCAACTGAAGATAAAAAGAAAATCCAATATAAATGCAATTACAATGAATGAAAATGGGTGCGCTAATGGGGCGTGGCACTTCCGTTTAATAAAGTTAACAGCAAACAGACGAGCTTACACGAAACATGCATATATGAATGAATATATAGGAGGGTGCATATACATAATGTATACAAGGGAGGCGGCTCTCGTCCCGGCATAACCCACGGCGCGAACCGCAGGACCTGCTCCACCCAAATCGTGTTTCTGTGGTTCCTCTGGTTTTCCTCCACCACAACCACAACCACAGACACAGCTGCAATTAAAATGAAGGCAAAGCCAGCCAGCTGCTTCCAAAGGACCATTTGTTGCACTTGACTTTGGTGCATTGTTCCGGCTCTTCTGCTTCCGTTGCTTTTCCACTTTTCCCGCGGCGACACGCGACCCGTTTGCTTCTTCAAATATTTCCCAAAGGGAAAGCCACCGCTGGCAATTTTCCTCCTCCGGGCAGCGATCTGCGACAAATTTCAATTGGCCAAAATATTCGCCTCTGTCATGGCTTTCCAATCATCAATTTCAATTGGCTTTGGGGGAAACTTTCAGGAGCATTTCCTTTCACAGACTGATGCAATTTTCACTTTCTCAAATTCAAACGAAAAAGCCTTTTTAACTGAAAACTTTTTAACAAGTTCGGTTTTGGCCGCAAAATGTATCGATATCGATAATTTGTGATGCAGCCATTAAAAAAAAAGACCCCTCTGCACGGTAAAAGTTGCCTCAAACGCAATTTATTTCAGCCCTCGACTTTGCGTAGCGACTCATTGCATTATTAACTTTTTAAAAGCAGACCTTATGTTTTTTATTAGATTATAAGGTCGTTAAAAGCAGCTGGGTGAAAGTTAAGCCTTGTGAAAAACATTTGTGGGAGTAAACACAATATTGTTTTAAATTATTTCTCCCCTTAAAAGGTTTATTTTAAAGAATACATATTTTTTAAATCAATTTCTCATAAATAACTTACAATTGCATGAGAAGACAACTGTTATAGACACTTTCCGTATAATAAATTCACATTTTAAAGTGGAAATCACACACTTCCTACGCTTGATAGATGCTAACGCAATCTTTATTTTTTCCCCGCTAAATCCGTAGTGCAAACGTGTTAAATTGCCTTTTGACTGACACTGACAGACCGTGCAGAGCATCTCAAAGCTCCCGTCCTCACTTCTCAACACTGACAACGTGGAAAACGTGCCCCACGAGTTTCCGTTTCATCAAGTTAGCTGTTGCCCGACTTCCGTCAAAGTTGCCTCGAAATTATTCAGAAAACCTGTGTGTTGTGAGAAAAATCTCACGTTCATTTTCTTAAACTACCAACTACTGAATGGGCAAGAAGCAAAAAATGAAGAAAACCGGTAAGATGGCAGCAAACGGTCAGGCTGAAGTTCCAGCTGGATTGCAAAAGCAGAATGAGAATACGACTGAGGTTGAGGCCGAAAAGGAAAAAGGCGCACCAATTGAAGTTACCCGTTTGGAGGACCTATCTCTGGACCCAGCCTATTGTCTTAAGCTCCGAAAGCTGGTGGATTTGGCCAATAAGTTGCCAAATAATGTTTTGACTTTGAAAAACATGGTAAGAAAAAAAATGTGTGCTCTAGAACTTTCGGTGATCTTGTACTCTCTGAATCGCAGGACAAACATGTGAGCTCGGATTCTGGCACCGGAGCTTCCGGTGATTCAGACGACGATCTTTCGGACAGCGATGACGATATTCCGGATCTGGTCGATGCCGAGGGGAAGCCGAATCTGTCCCTCGGTCTGAACTTGATGAGCGAAGCCCCCAGGCAGTCGCGCGGCGAGAAGAAGGCACGCCGTTTGCTCAGCAAGTTGGATCTGAAGCCGATGGAGAATGTGGCACGTGTCACCATGCGCAAGAACAAGAACATTCTGTTGTACATCGACAAGCCGGACGTTTATAAGGTGCCCCATGGCGATACCATTATTTGCTTTGGCGAGGTCCGTGTGGAGGACATCTCGAGTACAGCCGCTGCCCAGGCCGCTGAGCGCTATCGCATGCCGGCTGCAGGTGAAACCGAGGAGTCCAAAGAGGGACAAAAAGGAACTGCCGCCGTGGCCCGTCCAGATGATGATGACGAGGAGGTGGATGAGGAGGCCGCCAAGGGTCTGGACGACAAGGATATCGAACTGGTCGAGATGCAGGCCTCCTGCTCGCGCAAGCAGGCCATTAAGGCTCTACTCAAGAACGACAACGATGTGGTCAACGCCATCATGGCCTTAACCGTTGGTTAGGCGCATTAAATCTTTAAAAACTCAAAAACTAAATTCAGAACATGTATCAGTTTCAAAATCTTAAACATCAACAACGTTTGCTTTTGTTTCTCATCAATAAAGTTCTATCCGAATTCGTTCACGAAATTCCAGACAAACTTTCTAAATAAAGGCTTAATCAACCTTTTTGTGGCGAAAGGGTTTCTTTTCTTTGGGTTCTCGTATCAATAAGGAACCGGTAAGCTGGCGTTTCCCTTACATTTCCATTCAATTCAGCTTTTATTGCCCCACAGTTAGCAACGATATGTTATTGCCTTGCTTGTATAGCCTTTTCTTCCCTTCATCCATCACTGGAACCTATGAGTAGAGTAGTTTCTTTCTAGAAAGAAAATGGGGGCTTTGGCAGCCAAAGCAGATGACTTCCGCCGGGCGGACATGTCGTATGCAAAATTCAATTTCCATAACCAAGGCATTTCTGTTTGCTTGTTAAAATGTTAAAAGTTTGTGGAAGGAAAGCATATCTCCGGTAATTCTTCATTGAAACTTCACTGGCACGCTTCCTGTTTGTTTATCTTAACTTTATTTTTCAGAATCTGTCAGATACAATCTCAGGCCATGGACCTAGTTATAAACCTATTGAAGATGTAATTTAAATTTAATTAACTTTTGATGTATCACGAGAGGGAAGCTATTTCCATTTTGCTTTGAGAATCTATGCTGGGTACCACCTTACATTTTTTGCCATTTTTTCCTTCGGGCTTCTGTCATTCTTGGCCATTTCCCTGTCGTTTTTTTTTTGTACGTAAACTTAATCGCTTCTTCTATCCCGCTGACGCTGCACTTTTGTTTACTCTTCACTTAGTTTTCAGCTGTTTGGCAAAGTCTCCCCACTCCATTTTCTGCACTTTCTCCTATTTTTTTTTCTTGCCAATTTTTTGACGTTACCATGATTGCATTTTTACCTTCCAGTTGGCCCAGATGTCGCCGCTGGTGACGTGGATTCATAAGCCCTGTTCACTCAATTAAAATGGCATGACACTCGGTCTCCCAGTTCTCTACATGGGTGGGAAAAAAGCGGAAATCAAGGCAGCGGGGCAGCTCCAGCTCCATCCTTATTTCCAGACAATACGCAAAGCCACTTAATAAATAGCGCTGGGCGCTCCTCTAACTTGGGCTTAATTTTATTTAATTTGCAGCTGTCGTCAGCAGCCGTAAAAAAGGCTTTAGTTTTGCATTGTGGCCGCTCAGCAGTCCGTGTGGCCGAGCACGTGCCCGCTTTACGCTTTTCCATTTCCTTCCCGCTTTCACCGACTTTCTCCAGGAGCCACGCGAAGCGGCGAATGGAAACTTTGTATGCCTTCGCCTTTTATAGTGCGACTTGAAAATGTTGGCGCGTGTTGGCTTCGAGTGGAAAGTTTTTAGGGTTGGCTGGAGGCGCCTCCAATGAATGTGGAAAATGGTGCTGGGCGCTCCTATCCCTAGGAACTTTCACCGGAAATTGATTAAGTTGCCTTTGCCTTTAATCAGTGGAATTGAAGACGTTGCTGAAATACAAATCAGTTGACAGTCGGCATCTGGGCCATACAATATATACCAATATATTCTGGGCTTTTCATTCGTAGTAGTACTTTAAAGTACTTTCCAGCTGGCCGGATGGTACAGCCATTTACCTCAGGTCCTCTTCTACTGCTGACCAAAGTCCTTGTTATGGCCAAAGTCCGGAAAATGTGGCATACAATTCCAAAGTTGTAAAATGCTTAATACCCTCGCTTAAGTCTAGGATTCATCAACTGACAAGATAGACTTTCCTGCAAATACACTTGTAACTCTCGAAGTAGAGAAAGGAATTTTTCAAAGTACTTAGTACTAAGGAGGAAAGTGTAAAATGTAATTAAATAGTTTTAATACATTCTTGTACAGTTTTTCCTTAATTTAACACATTGTATACTTATTTTGTTAAATGGTGAATTGTTTTCAAACTAAATTTGAGAAAAAGTTTTGCTCTGTGTTTCATAAGAGACTTCCTTCTTTCATCTGAATGCCACCTTCTGTTTCCTGTTTTAGAGGAATTTTTGTTGGGCTTTTGGTCTCCTCGGCTTTCCTCAACGCTTATAAAGTTTTCCTCGTTCCTTGGTTTTGCGGCCAACTGCCCACTGCCAAGGGAAAGTTGTTTTTTTTGTGGCTTTTTATTCACTTTCAAGTTGATTTGGGTTTCACATTTCGTTGCGCATTTCTTGGCCAAAATCTGCAAGATTTGTCTTTAGCCTGGTCCTTCCGCTTGCCAGCACCCGTCGGCTTGTGTCTGTTTTCGGTGTGTCAGGAGTTGAGATCCTGTTCGAGCTTACGGATCCCAGCATCCGAGTACCACGCTTCAGTTGGCCCCACTGGCACAGTTCATCACATTAGTAGGGGGACACTGGCACTCCTGCTCCCTGGACTGTATATATGCTGAGCTAATCATGACGCCGATGATGTGGCAGAGTGTATCTACTCCTGCTACTGCCCCCACTTCGCTGACTGACTTTTCCATATCCATTTCCATCTGTCGGGTTAAATGTCGAATGCCGCGTTTGTGCTCCTTGCCTCAGGGCCTTCCTGCTATTCGGGCATGAAGTGTTGCCATGCTTTTTGCCATTTGATTTGGCGCTTGTGTTGGCAGGAGGACCTATCAGGTGTTTGCCTGCACTTTAGAGCTCTTTGGGAGCTCCTTGGGGTTCTATTATTGTGAATATCGAGCACCTGGGCATCGGGTAAACACAACCAAATACAGGTTCACAAAAAGCGCGTGCTGGAAAGTGAAAGGAGCGAGTTGACTTCCTGGCAGGTGATTTAAGGCTCGACGGGTTCGAATTTCCCGGTCTTTGTGTAATTGATGCGAGGCAAGGGCTAAAGGATAACAAATCGCTTTCATCCTGACTCCGTTTCCGCCCAAACACAATGTGTACAAATACTATACACAATTCATAATTCCTTTCTTGGCCAGCCCAGCATGAAAAGGGATTTCCGTCGATGTAGCCTCCTCAAAAAAGTGCCTCTCTTAAAAAATCCACTTTCGGCCCACACTCCCTTCAAAAAGGCAAAAGCAATTAGATAAACTTGCCAGCTGGATTTGGCAATTGAAAGTGGGCGGCGAAAAGTTTGTGAGCCAGGACCCGAGTGTTACAAAGGACGTGTTCCAGCTGGGAGTGGCAGGACAATTATGAAAGCGAAGGGCCTGGTTAATTCAACAATTTGGTCGGGTTAGGGGAATCAGTGTGGAATTATTGTCCTAAGTGCCTTTGAATTATGGCTTAATTCCAAAGCGAGACGGACAAAGGAAAATATTTGAAAATGTATAAAATTCTGTTTGGAGATATTAAGAATTTCTTCAAGGCCTTTGAGTAAAACTACAAAATAACAATCTTTTGTAAGCTTGTTTATGAAATTTATACTGTTGCCTGCAGTATTAGGATTCTAGTGGGTTTATCAAACACACACTTTTCTCAGATTTATTTTCCAAAAGCAGCTTAGAAGAGTTTATAGCACAAACGGATTTCTTTAATTGCTGGCAACATCGGGACTATTGTTCTTTTGCTTGTCAGGTGCAAAGGATCAGATATGTGTTTTGTTTTTCTTCCTCCAGCTTAGGGATGTTGGGGAAATTGCTTTTCCCTTCTGGGAAAGTCCTACTTTTTTTTTCTGCAAAGTAATTTAAAGTCTGAAAAGTTGTGGCATTTTACAGTCTCCCATGGTCCTTTAGTTACCCTTTTTGATACTTGTAACTGCATCCTAGCAATTATAAGCTGACTGGGGAATATTTACGGAATTTGGCAAAGTAGAGTACCAGAGTCATGGCTTCCAGAAGGGTGCTCCCCGGGAGCACCAAAGCTGCTTAAGTTTTCCTTTTGCCATTTTTCCCCACATCCCCCTCCCGTACCTTGCCCCCAATGGCTCCTCATCTCATAAGCATTTCAGTTTGCTGGCATTTATGTGAAAGTATACTTTATTCAGATTCCGCTTAATAAATGCATCTGCTGAAAGCCCAGAGCAGAGTGCAAAGGCCACGGATAATGAACCAACACTGGGGCAGAGAGCACAGATTTTCCAGCGTACTGATAACGTTGTTAAAATGCATGTATATGAGCCGAGGGGCTGGCTAGGGAAAAGCGGGCTGGGAAATCAATTTCGGGAAAAACAAATTGCGCAGTTTGTACTCGAGGTACGATGAAATCCAGCTGCCATTCGCCACACCACTGCATTTTCCTCTTTTGTGAAATATGAAATATTTGTGTGCTTATCTCTGCCCTGTTTACATGGAAACTATCTTTAACGAAGAGCTGATATCACTATTTTTTTGGTTTCCAACTCGATAATTAATGCTTTCCCAATTAGGAGACTTTTTTATCAGCACACTTTTTGTCACCTGACATTTTTATAATTCGAATATTTTTCCATCTGGTTGAGTAATTTCATAATCGTATTTAAAATACGTTCGATTTCTCGGCAGTTGTCAAGAGAATAATTAAACTATCCACGAGGAGATTAATTTGCATTTTAAAATTGAAATTATTTATGCAATATGTATGTGTCCTGGTTGGAATGTGTCACTTCAAATCAAAGTATAATTTTCACAATATTAAAAGATTTAATTCGATGATTTTTCCTTTGGTTTCTAATGACTATTATTATTGAAAATATAAGTTATGAACAGTTTCTAACGATATGGCCTATGTACTTTGAAACATATTTTATGGTATTAAATTGAATACTAAAATAAATACGGAACTTGGAGATATTTTTCTGATGGATTTTAAGAGCTTTTTTTAGTGATCATAAGAGCACTTTAACTTAGAATTTTAGATATACTAACTTTGGATTCTAGTCAACTTTTGAACAAATTGGCCTATTATGAAACATATTTGAACATTTTAGAAACCTTATAATTTTTAAAGTAGACTTTTCTTGAAGTTTTTTATGTCTAGTCCTCTTTTTCAAAAAATATTAAATGATATTGTATGGTATGAAAACTATGAATATGTTACTGTTCATATTTTTCAGAAAAATTACTCATATTTGTAAAAATGTAGTATTTATTCTTGAGTATAATTTTAATGAGGTTTTAAGGTTAAAAGACTAACATTTAGTTCTAAATAGACTAATCAATAAATTACATATTGTTATGTTTGAAAAACTTCCCCTAAGAAAATATTTAAAAATAAGTTTTGTAAAAGGATTTCTTAAATATTATTTCCTCCTCATTGGGAATGCAAATTTTAAAAATTGTATTAAATAATACTTTGCATAATACGATTGCAGTTTACTTGGCAAGCAAAAGTTTTGCATTTCGTTTGGCCCTTGGAGCCATCCCCCATTTTTCAACCCCGCGACTCACCACAAGAAGTGACGACGGCTGGCATCGACGTTGGGTGCCATATGTTAGGCTTACACGCTTATCAGGGCCAGAACAGCAGCCGAGGGATCGGCAATGGGACGGAAGCCAAGCTGGAGAAGGAGGTAGGTAGCAGGACGGAGACAACCTTAGGAGCAAGCGGACTTGAGACTTCGGTCTATGGACGTGGCACACTCTGGTTAGCCGCTGGGGCACTCGGTCCTCGGGAAATGTAGTAGCTGGCGCAGAACACTGGCTGGGACTTTCCACCTACTTGTTGTAGGCTGGCACTTTTCTTATTTAACCGCTCAACACTTGGCCAGCGTTCGCTGTGCTCCGCTCCCCAGGTTGAACTGAACTCGCTCCTCGCAACACTCGGAACACTGGCATCGAGCATCAGGTAGCGCACAGCAACCAAATCCGAATGAAAATTCGGCTCCTAACCGAACCTGCACGAGGCTTACATTTTCCAGGCTGGAAAATTCACGAAGCTGCCCTGGGGAAATGGTGAACGAAAGCTTTGAAAACTTTCGCTGTTGCTTCGCCAGCTGCTGCTGCTCCTCCGATTTTCCAATTGTGCTGCTCCTGTTGCGTTGGCAGCGACGCCCACGCAAAGCTTCGTGGCGCACGCGATGAGCTTTCCTCAAAAGGCGGCGCCTACGTGTGGCAACGGGCTTAGCCGGATACGGGTCCGGTGACAGAGGCGGATCAGGAGACGGAGACGAAGATGGAGCCTTCGCGAAGCGGCCCTCTCTTTTCAACATTCGGCGTAGTATTTGGCTGCCAAAAATAGCAACAGCACGAAAGTTCCTACTTTCCCCTAATACCACCCCCGGAACAGTACAGTCTTAATTGGCTAAGAAGACTTGTGATTAGCTTGGTTTAAGATGGGGGGAACTTTAGGGAATATTAGACCATAAATTGAAACCTCTTAGGTTCTATAGATACTATAATACTTTGTATACAAATATAATTCATATAAGTATTATTTAAGATCTTCAGAATTATATGACCACTCAACAGCAATGACCACTGTACTTGCCGAAAATGTCCTTTCATTTTCATTTGGCAATGCTGCAGATTTAATGCTTCTCTCCGTCTGTGAATCAAAAGTGCCAAGTCAGTTTCTGGAGCTCAGCTCCCGACCAACCGCAACTGCCCCACAGGAATCACCCAGATATGTCTTTTATATATATGTATATATATATCCCCTTGTGATTGTGCCGAAAATTTTATAACTTGATATCTGTGCTCGCATTTAGTTGCGTCTATTTTTAGCAGTCAGGGTTGCCAGCCCCACCATTGATTTTCCTTTCTGTTTTCGTACTCGCCTTACTTCCAACCTCTCGAGGGGTGGTGTATACCCAGTCGCTTTTCCGCCCGCAGTTTTTCCAGCTTTTTCGCCTTTTATGAATGAACTTGGCTCACATAAGCATTTCGATGAACTCCCCCCTTCGTTTCGGTGGTTTTTGTGTAAAGAGGGGCGTTGCACCCCTCGTGGAAGGCTGAGGAGAACCCTAATAAACGCGTTTTCAATGTCACCAAAATGCTTGCAATCTCATTAAGTAAATGGATGGCCGTATTCTAGGTCTTGTAATACAGACATTTGTCCATATGACGCCATTGTATCCTTAGCGCCCCCTCCACTGATGTCATAGATGTGTGCGCTCGTTTGTTGGCATAAACCCTAACTGGGACGACGTGCTCCGTCCTCCGTGCTGGATTATGGAATTATGATTAATATTTCTACAGTTTTAAAATAAATTGAGTACAGAGCCGAGCATCGGGCCAATAAGCCGCCCACTTTTTCTTCTCGCCCCACCTGTGTGTGTGTGGGCCCTTCATTCATTATAATTCGCACTGTGGCGAATGGGTGAAGTCAGGGGCCTAGCCAGGAGCGGGTTGGCATTGAGTTGCCGTGAATGATTACGCAGGGCAAGGTCAGGTCGGATAATTAAACGATGTTACCGGGATACATATTTATTCATTGAAAGGAACAGGAACCAAGCTAATCTGCGTTTCCTTTGATGGGCTTGGTCTTCATTTGCAATTAGAGGGCGTATTAATAGATTCAAGTGTCTAGAGTTGGTCCTAATATTTCCATTTACCATTAACCAAATGAGAGCTGCTTTGAGGAGGAAAAATAGCAATAACTTTTCTTTTCTCAATCATTAAATTTTTGTTATATTGGACCTTAGAGGTTGAACCTAATATTTCCACTTACCCGTGAGAGCTACTTTGATGAGGATGAGAAAAAATAACTCTATCTGCCTACGACTACAATATTGTCTGAATTGTTTTGAAACTTTGTGGAAAAGTTTAAACCCCCTTTTAATTTTTAATGCCGACCCACACGAACTGCCTGTCAAAGTAAATGGCTAAATTTAATATTCTGGACCAAGTTAAAGCAAATTTAATTGAATTCCAGGCACCATCAATCTTTGTTATGCCAACAGAACGTCCTCCTTCCGTTCGGAGACACAATATTTGTGCAATTGCCAGACTTTGTTTTTATTGGCTATCAAAATATAATGGTTTATTCATATATGTTTAACTGCTACTACAATCTTATACATATCTCTGGGTTGATTTAGTGTAAAAACTAAATAGCCATCGTAAGTACGGCTTTAAGAATGGCGGCCATTTGTGTATCTGCGATTTTATGCGTTTCGTTATGAATTTGGCGTTTTTATACGCCAACTTGTTTATGTTTACGCGAAAATATTTTCGTTTCATTTTATGATCCAGCCATCCCATCCCTAGCTGGGAAGCCTACCGCTTCCGGTTGTTTACGTAACTCTTAGCCAAACAGCGGGGCTTTTGTGCGACATTTATAGCCAGAGTCCGGACCGGGCTATATTTAACGCACTTGTGGCAGTCCCCATCCTCTTCGCTGCATATGGTTGCCACGATTGTCAGCCATGTCAACAGCATTCAATCAATCGGAGTCCTGCGGCCGACACACCCAGCCCACGCCCAGCAGGTCCAGGTTGATGAATGAGCACCGTGGTCCGGAGGGTCCTGTTCGGAAAATGATTACTATGGCACTGGCAGCTGATATCCGTGCTCGGAATACAATTCAGTCACATGTCCTGCCGCCTGAGGAGCAAAACAACAAGTGGGCACTGCTGCTGCCCTGCCACACCACGGGTATCGAGAAAAACAAAATCATAAAGGGATGGCACGGCCATAAAGTCCGATAAAGCTGGCTTAATATTTCGAAGCTGCTAATCCCGGTTTTGTATATTTTTTCTGTTTTCTTAATACGCTTGTAAATGTCAAAACAATTGTTAACAGATATAGGAATGGTAGATCATATGGGTATGATTTATAAAGGGAATACTTTGGGTTTGAACACAGGGCGTATGCGTGATATGCGTATACTTGATATGCGTACTACGTATACTTAATATTTGTATTCTTTGAGTGCTTTTTAGTTTAAAATATGGTACTCTCAGGAAAGATTATAATTACTTTTCTAGTTTAGATGATTAGATTATAAACTATTTTAATTAAAATCCGCTTTTTTTAGATTACTTTAAAAATAGATTGGAAAACCTTTATTAAATTGTCTCCTTCCTGTCCCCCATTGACTTGGAACCGTTTAATTAAATATTTAGAATGACTTGCTGGCAGGAATTCGCAATGAAGAAACACGCGCCATTAATTGCTTCCCATTGCATTGCCTACTTCCCAGGGCGACACACCATTAATGGGAATGGGTTTGGGTTTGGTTCCCACCAAGGTGGTACTCTCAGCTCTGATGAGGTAAAGTCGGTGCGGTGCACGCACCTGTTGCCAAAAGGTCAAATCACTTAGTCAGGACAGGTGGTAACTGGGTGTTGCTGATATATAGTACACTTCAAGGCGGAAACTAAAAATAAACCTAATGCAAATTGGCTGTGACTTACCTCAGTTTGACATTTATGGCGTGGCTCATGTATTTGTTTATTTCATATTCAGCGCAAACGAACGAAGACATGCAAATTTTTGTGGGGATGTTTAAAGGCAATTATTTATTGTTCTTTTTATATTTTTTCAGTGGCTCTTCCCTCCGCCCGAACTGTGGTTGCTCCTTCTCGTGCCGAACTGGGAGTACAATAAAGCGTATAAATTTTGATTAATTTACTGTATGTAGAGTATTGTATATATTTTCTTTGGGAAGCGCTTCTTTTTGACGCAAACAACGTCAGCGACTGACGACAGCAGCCTGAAGCCGAAAGCAAAGACCCAAGACGTTCCCAGAGAGTACTGAAGCTAGTGAGGGATAGGGATACAAAGAGAGACTGTGTGTGTGTGTCTGTGTGTGTGAAAGCTTGCGAGAGCACCGGCAATATTTGACTGTGTGAGTGGGTGGGTGGCCGTTATCGATGAATGTGTGGGTGGCTGGTGTATCTGTGTGTTTGCAGGTGTTCGCAGGCGCACGGATGACGTGCGATTATTTGTGGGCACTGGCGTCTAATTGCCGCCTCGCTGTTGATATTGCCCACATGTTGGCCGAAACAGAAAAAACAAAAAAAAAGGGACTCAAATACGGCCCAAAAATATGTGGGCGAACCAGAGAGAAAAATAGCGCGAGAAAAAGAGCCACAAACTAGCCAGTTAACGACGCAATAACCCGCACAACCCACACACCACTCTTCTGCTACCAGTTTTATTTTTCTAAATTTTAAGATATTTTAAAGAGTGTGCCTTAAACACGAAAAACATAAATAGCCTTCTTAATAATAGGATGCAACAATGGCCAAGAGAAGGCCAAGAGTTGCAGGCCAAATAAGCAGCATATGGCTGACATTTTGTATAGCATACTTCTGGGCTGTCACATCAAATGCTTTTTGCTTCTTCAGCTTTGTTTCACTCACACAGACACACACACACTTAAAAAGCACTCACACACAGACACGCATTAGGACATAATGAAGTTCAGTGTCAAATTTTCGTTTCGCTTTCAGACAAAAAATTTAAAAACACACACTAGAGCTTTCGTTTTCGTCGCCACATTTCTTGGTTCTTTCTCCTCTTTCAGTTAATCATTTCTGGTATTTAATATTTTTGTCCACAAACTGAAACAGCTTACTTTTGATTTTTGATGATTTTATATTTTGTATTTGTTTTATTTTCTGCTCCGCTACAGGGTTTTTTTTTTTTTGAGCCAAAATCCTTGCTGCTGGCCTTTGCTGTTTTTCTGGCTTTTCGCTCGCGTTGACCGTCAGCCGAAGGACTGCGTCCTACTGAGGCGCCAGTCCGCGATTTCGAGGCGAAACGCTTCGTAGTCCCGTTCGGAGGTCTTCGGAGTTTCGTTTAACGGCACATATATGACACTCACACACACATAAACGAGTCAATTCACACAACAAAAACCGAATTCCTACGCAATTTTCTGGAGTGTAGGTGTGTGTTGTAGGTTAGGCACACCACGCATTTTCCACACAGAGCTTGGAAAGCTTTTGGCCCACAGAAGTAGTAGGTAGGAACTAAGGGACTCCAAAGCAATGAAGTTTGGTAATAGGTAGCGGGATATTATATTGAATTGGTTCTATCTATAAGACCAGATACATTAGCTTTAAAATAATATATTTATATCTATAGGTTGTACTTTAGATCTTTTATTTTAGACTTTGAAAAGATCCTTTAATAGTTCCCCGACATATAATTTAAATATGATGTTTAAACTTATATAACATCTTTTTTTAATGATATATTATATAGATTTTTTAAAACCCTCTCCTATAATATATTTAACCAACAATATATACCCTGTTCCCCTAAGGGTAGTACCTATTAAAAGCTGCCCTAGAGCAACAACAATGTCTCCGGGCATTGGGGATCGCCCACCTCCACTATAACCATTTGACGTAGGTTGACAGCTGTTTGCGTTGGACAAACTTTATGGCTATTGATTTTGTTCCGAATTCCGAACCTGGACGCAACAGTTTGAAAGGCGCAGCTTTCACTTTCGTGGCCGAGGACCGCGGCGCCAACCATGGACCAACGAGTACCATCAGGCCGTGACTCCCCAGTATGAGTTACCCAACTGCGCCTGTCCGGGTTTGCCATCTGTGTTAGTGTGTCAGAGCGGCGCCTGCGCCGGAATTTGGTTGTGCGGGAAAGCTTCCTCGCAACAGCCTGTTGCCGACGTAGGCGGCACCCGGAGGAAGCAACCCCCGGCCTGCTCCACTTACCACCGACTGCTGTTTTCCAGCCGAGGCGCCATCGATGCACTGGAAGTGGCCCTCCCTAGTCCTCCACTCTGGTGTAGAAGGACCTAGACAATGACCGTGCCACATGCCAGGGCGTCGCAGTTGCCACAGCAAATGGATTTGATCACCCGTCTAAAAAACGAGCTGCATGCTAATGCTGTTTTAATGAGTTCGGTCTTACGCGGCACCCAGAAGCGGATTACGGCCACAAAGGAGTTGGCCCCAGCACTCGTTGGATAATAAACGCTGAGCCTTGCACTTTGACTTTGCCACAGAAGGTGCGGGGGCAGGGCAGGGCTAACTTGCAACAGGTTGTCAACGACATCCGGCCGGATTACAAAGTGCGCTGGGCAGCCATTATTTCTGAGAGGAAGCCATTTTGAATGGACATGAATGTAGGCAATAAAAAGTGAGGGAATAAATGGTTGCATACTTTTGGGCTGAGGGTTATGAAATGTGAGTTTGGAAAGGAGTTTAGTTCTGTTTTATAGATTTGAGAATTAAAAATAACATTTTAAAATTTATAAAAACCCTTATATCCCATCATTAAAAATAACCCTTTATCTACATTTCATGTAAATCTTTATTTATTTCATTAATTTTGTGTAAATCTTGTTGGTATGGTAGTTAATATTTATTATTTTCTCATTAGTTTGCAGGCTTTATTTCATTTCAATTCGTTTGCGAGTATCTAACTATAATAATTTGCGGCAAAGTTGCATTCAAAATTTTCATAAGTATACATATTTTAGTTTGATTTTCTTTATTTTTTTTTGTTGGGTAAAGTTTAGAATATGCACTCGTGTCACTGTTTTCAAGTCAGTTTTCATAAGATTTTGAATAGATTTTAGTTCTGAAAGTCAATGTGGAGATAAAACAAAAGGCCATAGATTTTGTATAATTTTTCGTTCTTTATTTTTTATATTAACTATAAATTTTGTTTCCTTATTTTTATGCTCGTTGTAAATACAATTTCTAATTCGATCTCGAGCTTAGCATGAGTTAGCCTTTTGCTTGTATGTGTTGTATGGGGTATGGGGCATGGGGCATGGGGCATGGAGTATGGGGGTGTGATGCAATGCAGGATGTGTGTGTATAGAAATCATCATAATAGCCTACTTAAAATTTGGTTAAACGCTAATTTACACAAGATACAACTAAGTAATTAGAATTAGGCTTAAAAAAAACATACATTAGCACTGTACTTAGAACTAAGGTGATGTGTGGTGTTTCTGTGATTTTCTGTCGAGTTTCTGTAGTTTTAGTGAGACGGATTTGATTTGTGGTGCGGTAACTGAGTGAAGACATCGGGCATCCACGTCGCTATATCATCATGATCATCATCATTATCGTTATGGTGATTGGTAAGGCAAGTTTAACAGACGGCAAGTGGTAACAACAAATGTTTTGGTTAGTGACGGTTGCTGCTCTATGCTTTCTCTCTCTCACTATCTCTCTATTTACAAAAAAATTCAAAAGTCGTATGAGTAATGCTTAGATTCTGGTCTGAATTCAAGTCTAAGTCAAAGGCACTGATTCTCTACTCGGTTCTCAAAGTAATATTCTCTGCTTCTAATATCTTGTCAAGTCTTGGAGTCTTAAGGGGGAGGAGTATGGAGTGGGTGCGGCACTTGCAACAACTGTCACCGTCACCGATTTCTATATATTCTGAGCTTTGAGTGTCTGGTTGTGCACATAAAAAATAATAATACATCATAATTACTAAAATGTAATTGAAATACGATTGGTTTTACATTTAATTTCGTTAATCGTTGCTCTACTTTTATATTTATTTTTTAATTTTATTTAATTTATTCCCTAGTACATATTTTAGATGTGCATGAGTGTATGTTTTAAGAGTGTTTCGGGTATCCTTTTTTATTTTTTGAATGCTGCCTCGTTTAGTATGTAGTCTGATTTCGATTCGATTCGCTTATTCGATATTCGATAACTATGAGTATGAGATGAGTTTGAAAGCAGATTTTGCAAATGAGTTTTTCTATATATTTATTCGCTTGCGCTAATGTTGTGTGTTGGTGTGTGTAGGTGTGGGTGTGTACAATGTATGGATGTGCTTGGTTTGGTTCAATAATTTAATATAATTTAAATATTTTGTTTGCATTTCAGTTTAAACAATAATTTACTTTTAAATTTTTAGTTTTTTTGTGTTTTTGTTTTTACTTATAGATAACTATATAAAGCATTCGATATAACATAAACTCGCATAGATAGATAGTTGGATAGTTGAAGGATATAGCCGACCTAACACTAATCGAAGAGCAGTTACAATATTTTCTCGTTCATGGCCCCCCCGGCACGCCGCTCCATCTGCAATTTAATTTATACATCGAAAGGGGGTTCGGCGGCGGCGGCGGCCTGGCCAGTGGCCTCTTACAATATAACATTCCTTTATAGAATAGCTTATAGCAAATCATCATAATACGTTATATGCATAATTGTGTGTAGTTTAGTGTAGTGTGTGTGTGTCTGTACACACAAAAATATATATACTTTTTTTTTGACAAAAAATAAATGAAATAATAACATAAAAAGGAGAATTATGTTGGGTTGGGAAGTTTTACAAAAACTAAGATACTACTCGTACAATATATCATAATCGGTATACAGTTTATATAGTATATCCATATAAACAATGTTAGTAGGTAATGGTAATAATTATCATTATAACATAGAGTTCAGTGTTTATTTAATTCTTTATCTCTGATCGTTTCGATTTTCTCGATGGTCGATGATGGATGGCCATCCTAGGGCGTCTTCAGGAGCAGGATGTCTTTCTTGCGCGTGCGACTGGCGCTGGCGTTATTCCTCTGATAGAAGTAGTTCCTGCCGATCCTGCGCTGCAGCTTGTACGACTTGCCCGCCAGGAACTTGCTGATGTCCAGCACATAGTTATGGACGTCCTCGTGATCCTCGAGCAAATGTATCGATATAACATCGATTTTAACTTTGTCGAAGGGCAGCGTTTGCAGAATCTAATCAAGAATTAAAAATAAAATATTAATTATAATTTGATTAATTAATTAAATGTTAGTATTACCTCTAACTCATGCCCCTGCACTCCCAGACTGAGCAGATCGTACTCGGTGCGCTCACATGCCAGCATGATAGTGTAGAGCGGAAAGCACTTGACACGCGACTTGAACCACGAGGTCTCCTCGTCCTGGAGACTGTTGATGCGGACATCCTCGTTCTGAATGGTAATCTGTCATTGGAATATAGAGGATTAGTATGATTCGGATGGGAATTGGTCTTCCTAGTAGCCTTACCTCTTTGGGGTATGTGTTGGGAGAGACGCAGGCATGCACCACCTGCATTTTGGCCCGCTGGGCATTCTGCTTCCGGAGTGTAAAGTACCAACGGGGCTCCGGCTCCACCAGCACACCCATCCAGTTGAGCTGCTCGCTCAACCAGGGCGCTGTAATCAAATGAGCCAGCGGGCCGCTCAGCGACTGGATAACAGCACCGTTCATCTTCCCGCCCACCAGATCGGCCACCAGATGGGCCAGTTGATCGGCACCACTGCCGCTGCTGTTGCTGCTGCTCAGCGGGGTGATGGCAGCGGATCTGGGCGGTGATGGGGGTGGTGGTGGGCCACCGCCCGCCGCTGACGCCGTCACGACCTTGGGCGAGACCTTGCCCAGGTACTTGCCCATGTGGATCTCTCGGAGGAATGCAATGAGTGCGGGGTCATCTTGGGCCACACCATTCAGCTCGTAGTCGCGCGACATGTTGAGCCGAAACTGTTGGTGTCGGATCTCTGCAAGAAATGAGATACCAATATTTAGTTATAGACTTGGATATGGTTTGGAGGAGGATCGGTAATTGGTTTCAATTAAAAGTTGTTGCACCACTGGCGGCATAGCGTGTGTGGCTCCCACTCCGCCACGCTCGGCTGCCAATTGGAGCGCACTGACCACATTTGCATTAGCCCATTTTGGATGCACTTACTCTGGACAGGGGATTTCAGAATCAGAGAGGCTCTGGGTGGCAGGTGAAAGTGATGGAAGAGGAGGCCTCCGCGAAGGTCAGCGAAGGAAGGAAACAGCCACTTGGCAGCAACGACGACGACGACGACCTCGGTTGGGCCATAAAATATAATGAGCGCACGGCCTTTGATATTTAGCACATGACCCCATCATGGCCATTGGCCACTCCCCCCGCTAGGGCTCCAGCAGGCCTTTATGAGTCAAGAGACCCGGCCCAACCTGTCTGTCCATAAAAAAGCGAACTAGTAGAGGTAGTTTTGCTTTAGTTTGCTTTTCACACTTTCCTCGTGCCAATTTCTAGTTGGTTTTTTTTTTTGTTAAGAGAGTCTCAGTTTTGGCCAAAATGGAGGAATTTGTCTAGCTATCCCCTCAAGCTTGCCTTAATAAGAATACCAAGAGGTGTAGGCCCATCGATCTTTTATTTCGGCTACCGATACGTCATTGTTTCTTCTTCTAGCTGCCTTACCCAACAAAACCTTTTATATCTTTCTGCTGCCATGCAAATTTTGAGGCCACAAAATGGCCATAAAGTTTATTAGATTCAGGCAGAGCAGGGCCATTAGACAACCACTATAGTTTCTCTGTAATTTCCCATACTTTTCCAGTGAAAACCTGCACTAATTAACGCCCAAGACCGAGACCGAGACCGAGACCGAACCGATCATCGTCATGTTTAGGGAAAGTGGCCAGGGCCAGTTAGGCGACCATTTGTTGTGGAAATCTGATCTCTGGCCGACCCTCGATTAGGAGGTAAACGAATTATCCGAATCATTTGTCTACCAGCATGCCAGTTACCCAGCCCTTGATCGTAAGCCTCCGACAGCTGGTAATCCAATAAAGAAAACCCTCTCCTGGTTAATGGAGAGGAGCTGGGCCCTCTTTCCAATTTCGGTGTCAAAAGCTGACATTTCTAATTTCCGCAAAAAGGGTGGCAGGACTCTGCAAGACCCCGAAAATTATATGACGGCTGAGGGGCATTAACATTAAGGGGAGTCCACATTTAATTGCGGTTAAGCGGCGGCAGACTTGAAGTTCGCGACTTGAAGTCCCGAGGCGGATTATATGCCAACCAGGGGTAGCAAGTTGTATAAATGACTTACCCTGCCACCAGAACACCAGAACACGCCCTTTTCAATAATTCAACAAAGGAAGAGAGTCAGTAGCAAGGGGCGGTGGCAACCAAAACTTTTATGAATTTTTTAAACAAAAAAGTTAAGTATTTGTATTTGTTCTTCTGGAATATTGAATTTTTAGAACTAGAAGCCCAACCTTATAGAGCTATGATTTCTTAGCCTTTATTTGAGGGCAACGTTACCCTTGTTGTGTAATATCCCTCCTACTCCTCCTCCTGGTCCTGCTAGAGTTGCGTGTCCTCGACAATGGGGTTGCCCATCGCTTTCTATAACAATTGCCTAGTTCGGTTTATTGATTTGTGCAGCAAACTGGTAACTGGTGGCTGGTAGTTGGTAATTGCCTGTTTGGCGCTATTCGGAATGGCCCGTTTCCATGAAGATAACGAGCCATGTTTCAACATATCTGCATATTGGTAGAAACGAACTTGCCAACAACGACACTGCTGATTTATATTGTTGGTTTGGATGGGTGGGTGGGTGGTTGAACCTAATCTAAGTGGGTCGGATCTTAATCACCCAGGCAGAGTAGAACAAAAGGCCAATGCAGTATAGGCCCTAGACTTGGGGCATTGCAGTCTAAAGTTGGGTCTAAGTTCTCTTTAGTTATATACCTATCTCTATATCTCTAGAATATTTATTATATTTATTATGACCCCCCTTTATAAGGTGGTTGAAAGCAAAACCCCCTAAGGCCTTCCCCTTCTTAATGTGTTAAACGTTTCTTGGCCATTTATCAACCCTGATTGGAATATCTTTCAAAGAAATCCCGATAAGGCAGGTCCCCCCTTATCGCAGGGGTCTAGCCCTGGCTCTGCAACCCACCTCCAAAGACCGCCACACACGAAGAAGAACGTCGCAATTGCAAGAGGGTTGCTGCCTTAAACCTGAGACCCTTATGCGGGTGGTGGCACTTTTGCAAAATACTAAATCATACTATATATATATATATAGTCATCTAGCTCGTGGCTGTGGGGCAGCATGCTGTGATAATGCCAGTTGAGCTTTGCTTTTCGAATTGAGCACTCGGTGGGCTTTTGGAGGGGGCCTGATCTCCGCCAGAACCATGACACGGCAGCCAAGTCGCTGCGGGGGTGGTTTTTCTCTTCGGGGGCCATGCAACAACTGCACACGAATCGAAAATTATGAATCACAAGCCGAGCTATGGGGGGGGTGGAGACCTAAATGACATCCGGTGGCGGGCAGAGGAGGTGGTGGTTGCAACTACACAGAGAGAAACACAGGGGGCTATCTACTCTCTGCGTGCCCTTTGAACTCTCTGCGTGCTTAACGGGAATTAAGTCATTAGTGTTAGTGTTTCAATTAAAGTTGCAATTTGCAAATTGTCGCCACAGACAGACAGCCAGTGGCAGCCACAACGTGTAATCACCGCAAGTGTGAAGCTTAAACCTTCTTAACATAATTAAGGCCTTGCCCCAGGCGGCGAGGGCGTGGCCTAAACAGACTACAACTAACACTAAGGCTAAGGGTAACGACACTGCAACTGCAACAGCCAGACCCTACCCCTAATCGATGACTAAAACTAATCACAGGGCGTGGATAAGTAGGCTATGTGGCATGATACCTGATGGTTGCTATTTTCAGAGAACCAGTTTTAGAGTCCAATTTTGGCCAACAATAGTAGGCCATAAAACTAAAATAGTTAACTGGTTAGAGTTCAATAACCTTATATTATATTATTATTAATCATTTAGTCAGAGATTAACTATCTTAACTAAAAAATACCTTGTAATTATTATAATCCCCTCAGAAGAGTGCCGCCCCAAATAGCATTTCCGATTCCGAAGTCTCTTCCCCCCTCCGAGACCCTGAAAAGTGCTTCGGTCATTGCAACAATCAAGTCCGGAACGTGACTCTTACAACAAATCTAGGGATTGGATTGGATTGTAGGGGGGAACCATCATCATCAGATATAGAATGAAAGAATTATAATAAAGAAACCCGAAAAGGGGCCGAGGGCAGTAGAACGCCACAGAAGTTGTAACAAAAAGAGCCTAGGCCAGCAGAAAAGTGTGAGACTCGGTATTTGGATTCTGAAATGTCATGGTCGGTGGAGGTTTATCGGATCGAGATCCGATCGAGGTTGGGATAGTAGGGGGGGCATTCCACACAAAAATTTGTCACTTTAATAAGTGCATGATTTTGAGGAAAAATCTCTGACAACTCTGAGAGAGCTTCTCCCCAGAGACCCAAAGAAATACCTAATTTATGATTATTTTTGTTTATGAATTCCATTCGCTCGTATAATCCTAATAGGGCCATCAATGAGCCATAAAACTGAAGCTGACACCACCACGCCCCAGTATCGAGACTCCAAGCCCAACCCAACCCAGTCTAGCCGACGTGGCGACCAAGTAGAGAACCCCTTTGGGCACCAAAATGAGAACTTTATGGCCAGAAATCAGCAGCCATCATCATTTCGATTTCAAGTCATTTTTATGGCAATAAACCACAAAATATAGTAAGCTGCGGAGCATGATTATAATAGCCAAGTGCATTGAAGTTTTGACCAAAAAAACTCCTTCAGTTTATGGCCAGAAGGGAGAGAAGACACCTTCCGCTCAATAAAATGCAAATCAAAGTCTGGTCTTTGGCCAATCAGCTGACGAACTTCAGAGGCAAAAATTTGCATAAAAATTCTCAAGAAAGGAAGAACAAGTTGGCGCTACGGAAGGAAGAACCCAGAGACTCGTGTGGAATTTTAAAATATTTCTCTTCTCTAGTCAGAGTATCTGACAATGAACTGACATTGATTTTTTGGGTCTTCCACTGGGTGTTTACTTTTAGTACATCTTCTCCAAGCCCTTAGTCACTCAGTGACTCACTTCCCCAGTGGCGCCAGTTGCGAGATCATATGCAAAATAATATATACTTTCCGCTTTCATTGAGAAGACAAGCCCCAGGCTGGCCCAACGAAAAATTAAGCAAATTTATTTTCCATTCCAGTACTAGTCAGTACCCCATTTTCCAGTACTAGCTTTAGAGACAACAAAATATTTTAGCGAATTAAAAGAAATTGTCTCATCCGACAGCCGCCTGCGAGATGTGGATATAATTCGGATAGATGGTCAAGCTGGGGCTATAGTCTCATACTATATATAGTAGTATAGTGTCTGATCTACTGGGTTATGTGTGCCTGAGATCTAGTCTAGACAAGGTCTTTATGGACGGACTTATTCAAGGGAAGGCTTTGTGGGAAGGCTTTCAAAAAGTATATCTAAGATTGTGGCGATCTATAAGGAAGACTCGTAGTTGACAGTGTTGGAAAGCGTAAAGCGTAAATATATTTAACCTTTATTGGGTCTACAAAAAATGTCTCAACTTTGAATTATCTTGCAATTTCACAATGTATGCAGTTTTTGAATAAAAGTTGATATATTTGATATTCTAGTATATACTACCTTGTAGTGATCAAGTTGCATTATCTATAAGGAAAATATCGTAAATATATTTAACCTTTACTGTGTATAAAAAAAAATGTATCAACTTTATATTATCTTTATATTATTATTTAAGATGTATTTGATATACTACAGACTATAATACAAATACCTTCTTCTAAACCTAATCTACCAAAAACCCTTTAATACTTTTTGTAAAATGCCATTGGTACCTTATACTGCCTATTTACATATGTAAAAATTTAATTTATTTAAGATTTAACATTTTCTCTTTAAAAAAAGAACCATAAACCTTTTCTAATCAAACATAAAAAAAAAAATGTCTTTATAGTAACAAATGGAGAACTATTATAGACATTATTTTGCGTTTTTGTTCTACAAGGCAAAGTTAAACCCCCGTCACCGTTTAAGGGTTAACACCTGAATGCACTGTTAGTGTTAATCAACACTGTTTCACTCACAATCTGTCGAGGAGACTAACTAGATTGGAGATGAAGATTCTACTATAATCGTGACTATCAAGTCATATAATAGAGCTATCTTATCGAAGCATTCTTAAACCTCATCTAGATATCCAATCTTTAATATTCTCTCTCTATTTTCAGAGCAATATTTCTACTTTTCAAGCTAAATACTCCCACAATAGCCCCTCCAGACCTTAAAGAGGCTTTCTTCAAACATTAATTAGATATTCCTTGGACGTTAAAGCGGTTGTCTTTGAAGACCTGAGGGAGACCTCGGTGGCAGCACGTGTCGTTGGTAACTAGGCATGGCAACGTTTTGGGGGCAGTGACAACAACGACAGCTGCTTTAGGTTGGTTGCCTGTTGCCAAGTGAGTTGTTGCCATTCTTTGTGGCTCTTTTTTTTTGTAGACAGGAAGCGCCACTGCACACACGCCCACGCTTGAAATATTGGCAGCAAAAAAGCAGCGATCTATGACACAAGATGATGCCTCAGAGACAGCCGCTACTGCTCCTGCTCCTGCTCCTGCCGACCAGCAGCTTAGATGGGAAACTAATCTCAAAAGTGTGCCCATTGCCAGGAAGTGGATCTGCAAGGCAAACACAGCCTACATCCGGTGGCCCGACCCGAAAAAAAAAAAACAGACAGCAGATGAGACATATGCCAAAGATATCAAATTTAGGAAAGTAAACAGAACGGAGGAGGACTCCAGTCCAGTGGAGGGACAACCATAGCTCACCTGTCGTGTCCATGTAAACAATTAAGGTGGCGAACACCGTTGCGAACGAGAGCAGGCACAGGGCGATGGGCAAGAGCTGGCGGTACGGCGAGGGATTCAGTCGCGGATCCAGCTTCTTGGTCTTGCAGGATCCAGATCCACCAGATCCTATGCCACCACCACCCCTCGCACAACCCCCCGCCGCCGAGAGGTGGTGATGGTGATGGTGGTGATGGTGCTGCTGCTGCTGCTGGTGATGATGATGCCGGTGCGGATGCGTCTGCTGGGGGGATGTTGTTGTGGTTCTCGCCCGGGACTCGCCACCGCCGTTTAGCTTCTGGCAGCAGTGGAGCTGCTGTTGGAGCACCTGGGGCAGCCTTGTGGGCGTGGAGAGGGGCGAGGAGAGCGTACTGACCGACGGGGAGCTGACCACGCTGCTCATGTCGCTCTGGTCGCCACCGCCTCCACCGCCATCCTGGTGATGGTGCTGCCTCGTCGCCGTGTGGCCTTTGTGGCGCTGCTGCACATGATCCGTTTCGTCGATGCCGCAGTCTTTGGTTGCTTGCCGGGTCTCTGTCTCCTTCTCCGCTGCCTCCTTGTCCTTGTCCTGTTGGCCAAAGTTCACCTCGTCCACATCGTCGCCATCAATGTCATCATCGTCATCCACCGACGCATAATTGGGTCTCACGGGCAGAACTTTGACGGAATGGGAGGTACTGGTACTGGTACTGGTACTGGTCTGCTGATGGACGCCACTCAGAGATCCTCCAGATCCTCCACAACTCCTACTGAGTGTAAACTTCTTGGGTGTGGCTTTGGGATGCCGCCGGTGATGATGATGATCGGCAGCCTGCTGCAGCTGCTCCACCGCCAGCGCTGGATGGGCCGAGAACACTTGCTGGGACATGGCTGGAGCGGTCTGTTGGGTGTTTAGTATTGGTTCCTGGTTAAGTTAGCCTCCTCTAAAGCCGCATCCTGGAAGAACGAAAAGAAGAAGAGAAATCCAATTAGTTTCCAAAAAAAAAAACGAAAAAACTAATTTTGAAAAGTGCATTGAACTGAGACTTCCATACAGCATCCCATCCCTGCCTGCCTGGCTGCCTCTCCATATGTCTGGTAGTGTCTTTTGTCTGGAATCCTTGCTCCCTGATCTCCTGATTCTCCTCCCTGTCTGAACTCATTTTAATTTTTATGAATAGAAGACCAGACTCGATCCTCGAAGACCCTAAAGTCGAGAGACTCAGTCCCAGTCCCATTCTGTAGGAAATTGAATACAAAACTCCACCACCTGTCAAAAATCGAGCGACTGCCAGACAAAGCCCGAAAGGCACGAAAGAGACAGAAGCCAGACGAAAGAGCGAGATGGAGAGACAGAGCGATGATTGCCAAAGAATTTCAACAACAACGCGAGGTATTTTTTGAAGAAAATTAAAAAAAAGACCCAAGACTGAGGCCCAGAGGGGTGGGAAGTGACTGGCAGCGAGGCATTCCAAGAGTCTCAAGAAGAAGACCATTAATAAGATCTCCAGAAACAGAAGAACACTCTCCAAAAAACAGAAGAATTATTAAAAATTGTTGTTATTATTGTTTATTATTTTTAAAAATAATTATTATTAATTATTATTTAAAAAAAACAAACCTCAAAAATATATATCTCAAATTAGGTTCTACTTTTGTGTACATGGCTGTACTACTACTACCACTACCACTACTGTGCGCCTGCGCAACAGCCGCTGAAACGAAAGAAGCCATGCTGGTGGCTGTGCAAGCGAGACAGCAGGCTAGCAGATGTTTCTTCCATAATTTCGGCGGCTGTTACTCGAAGTACCCCCTAACTCTGCCATCTCAAGAAAGGCCTCTAAGGTCTAAGGAGGTTCTAAGGAGAGTACTTCTCCAGAAGGGTGCTAGAGGTACTAGTTCCCACTCTCTCTCTCTCTCTCTCTCTCTCTCTCTCTTTTTTGCTTTGAGAATCTACAAGATTCTTTGCTTTCTGCAGAAGAACTTCCAAGCTGAAGGGGTCTTGGAATGAGAACCAGATCGGTGGCTGCCGCAAGGCATTCGCGCATTCATTATCCATTAGGACTTGCGTTCCAGCTTCCAGATATTGGACCCAGTCTTGGATTCTCCAGTCTCGGGTTCTTCATTCTCCAGATCCAGATCTTGCCCCTCCACTACCCCCCTCTTGAAGAATTTATTAAAACATGGCCAAACCTGTGATTAAAGAGCATCTTGTACTTCTCTTTTCTTTCCAGGAATGTGCTTTAAAGACTCACTGTATCTTTAGATACTTTTTGAATCTTTTCCACAACTATCTCAACATTTAATCCCATTCTTTACACTTTCGGATAAACGATTTTCACGGCCTCCAACAATTAAGATACATTTCCACAGCCTGCCAGTCTATAAAGGCCTTTAATGTACTTTTGATTCAGTAATTAGCTCGCAGGGCACTCTCTCTCTACAGAAAGCTCCATGAAATCGAATTGAAATAGTATCTGTATCTGTATATGTATCTGTATCTGTTGGATACTGCTGTTGGAGTCTGGCATGTGATTTACGACTTGTCGCAGCGCTTGAAATCGATCGAGCTTGGCGGCAAAAAAATCAGAGGATGCCGACACTTGCCGGATGTATCTATGCATCTTTGTGGCTATATCTGTATCTGCAGAGATGTATCTGTATCTATAGTTGGCCCTTTTTTTGTTGTGTCTAGTGGCTGTCTGGGAAGCTGTGGCAAAAGCATCTTGGCGCCATAGGAGGAAGAGGAGGAGGTAGGGTAGGGGTTCTGGCCATTTTAGCCATTTTGGGGCATTTTGGCCATTTGGAAGTGCAACATATTTTTCAGGCCAAGTTCCAAGAAACGCCTTCCAGCTAAGCTGAACAAACATCTTAAGGAAAGGTGAGCCAGGACACTGAGAGAAAGTATCTAAGCTGAAGAGTTCTAACTATCTATAACCTCAACAGACCAGAGCTTCCTTCTTAAAAGTATCTCCCTCTTTTCTCACCGTGTATCTTTTAAAGCAAGAACCAACCAGCGAACATGCCACAATAATGTTTTGCGGTTAATGATCGTCCGATGTGGTGATGGTGGTGATGATGGTGGTGGTGGTGGTGGTGGAGTTCGCAGTAGAACGGCACAAGACATTTTTGATGCAAACATTTACAAACGCACTCGACCAGAACTCCAACCTGATGATCAGCCCAACAGTTAGGAGGAGGAGGAGGAAGCCAACACACAACCACCATAGCCATCCAAGAGCCAGAACCACCAGCTACAGGTAGAGGTAGAGGTAGAGATACAGATACAGATACAGGTAAGAGGCGATGACTTTGGGCAGCCAAGTAAGAAAAAGGCTGGCAACTGCCTGCCACAAAGAAAGAATTATTCTGCTACGCTTTTAAACCATATGGTTTATTTATACAACAACAACAACAACAGCAACAACTATAATAAAAAAAAAAATAACAAAAACAACAACAAGGCAGACCAACTCGCCAACAACATTGGTAACAACAAAGTGCCAGACAATAAAAAATGCAATTCTAAAAAAAAAAAAAAACAACAACAACAGAGGCCTATATGAGGCACATTGGAATTCGTGGAGGGAGAGAGGGAGTGGGGGAAGGGCAAGGGGATCGAGCCAAACGATCGAGTTGATTACGAAAGTTTTGTTGGAATGGCTGGTGGGGATAGTGGGGCCTAGGGGGCTAGTGGCTGGGGGCTGGGGGCTGGTGGCTACTACGGCTGGATTCCATTCAGAAACGTGAGTGGAGGAACTTAAATGGTTTGGATTTTTAAAAATAAAATGGGGAGTTTTAAAAATAACTACAGTAGGTACTGGTACTACTACTACTACTGCTACTACTACTACTAATACTACTACTACTGTACTTAAAAGTAGCATCCAAATACTATAATACTATACTACTCTTCCTTATATGCCCTACTATAGCTACTACTACCATAATACCATACTGGTGTGTGTCAAGTACTATTATTACTACTATACTACAACTACTATGCTACTACTTATACTACTATTAGTACTACTACTGAAAATACTACTTTTATAGATACTACTATACTACTATACTTACTACTATACTTCTACCATACTGCTGCTACTGTATCTATGATACTACGATACTGTATAGCTATTGCTACTACTACTATAGTTACTACTAGATCTACTACTAGTAGTACTACTATAACTATTACTACTATAACTAATAGATGTTCTTGTATGTCAAATAGTACTATAACTAGTGGCCCTACTATACCTATTACTCCAATAAAACTTTAGCTACTATTTGTATACAATAAAAACAACTATCCTTATTAAACTACTATAACTACAACTAATACACCATATAACTGCTAATACTATTATTAATATAGCTACTACACAAGAACTACTTCTATATATGTACATATCTACTAGTTCTATACTACTATACTACTATTTGTAGTTCTTCTATAACTACTATACGTCTATACCTACTACTGGTACTACTACTTTACTACACTTTTATAAATAGTATAATTCTACTACCGTAACCGCTACTATTGCAAATAACTGCCACTACTACTTGATACCTACTACTATAATAACTCCTAATACTATAACTGCTAATTGTAGTTCTACTGTAACTATTACTACTCTTCTATCATACCTACTACTACTACACTACTATAACTAAACCACCATAGCTACTACTATATCTACTACTTCTTCTACTACCAAGTAAATAAAAATTCCCCAAAAAACGATCTACTTTCTTTAAAAAAGAACTCCCTTTTTAAGCCAAAATGCAAAAGACCCTAAAAAGTAGTTGAAAATGTTCTCGAAATGCAATTGTTTTAAGACCTCCCCCTCCTCCCCCCTCATGAAACCGGCCAGGCAGAAAGCGCTAATGAAAAAATTGCTGTTTCTGTTGCTGTTGCCGGGCAGTGGCCAGTGGCAGGTAAGGTATTTGGCCAAAAAAAAAAAGGTATTTCGGATATTTATTGGTGGCGGCAGCACAAGGTGAGGAGGAAGACAGGGCTGAGTGAACAAATGTGTGGCATATGGTGTTGGGAGTGGGGACTTGGTGAGGAGTCCAGACCTGGCAGACCTGTGTGGTCGTCTTGGCGGCTTGGTGACTTATCTTGGCTTGTTTATCGGCCAGCGACGACGTCGTCGTTTTAATTGTTTTGTGCCCCAAAGGCGTTGTTTTGTAGGAGTTTCCATCCAGACCATCTTAGCCATCCATCCAGACCATCCCGAACCGACAGTTATTTCAGCAAGTCGTTCTACCAAATTAGCACATAAAAATGCCTCCTGGAAAGTTGCCAAGAAGCATAATGGCTGGAATCTAGGGTAAGTAGAAAAATGCAGCCGTTTCTTGCCGCGTTGCATGTTGCATGTGGAATTTATTACCAAAAAAAACGTGGCAGCAGGGAGTCGTTCAGGACAGATGGCGTGTGCCAGCCAGGACTACAGGACCTCTGGATAGGGAGACCGAGAAAGGCACTTTGATTTGAGAAACCATTCATGGTGAATGGATGCCCCCCTTACCGCTTATCTTAATGAGAGGATGACGTGTCTGCCTGCCACAGGCAGGTTGTGGCATCAACAGTAGTTGCCCAATAAAATTGTGGGAGTTACTTGGCCAATTACACCATCAACTTGGCCCATTGATTGTTTATTTTGCCACCCCGGGAGCTCATCTGTCTGGCCATAAATTGCATCCATTCCTATATAGTATATATACTATAACATACCCGATAATGACATTTGTTTGGATAGCTTTTCTATAAAGATTTCAGTTTATTGTAGGCTGGGATGATGGAGCTCTTAATTGTGTTTCCTCAATTAGCCAAGTTAACTGCCAGTTGGCCTGGCCAGAAAGCACTGCCTCTTATTATGCAATGTTCTTCGGAGAGTAATTCTGCAATTAAGTTTCCAGCAGGTCCATCATCTATTTCCCATTCC